ACTTGCTGTGCCGCTCCCTGCACGCGCTGTACGCTTAGAGTCTTACCCAGGCTTCAGAGCAGCCCCAGAGGAGGAGACAGTCTCTCTTAGTCGCGCGGATTCTCTCTCTCTGTCTCTGCAGTTTTCTCCTGGGCTCCCCTGCAAGCACCAGCTCTCTCCTTATCCTATGGGGGGCCCCTACCAGGCGAGCCCCCAGGGGGCCCCCCAGGGGGCCCCCCAGGTGGTCCCCGCGAGGCCCCCCCTACACTCGCTGCAAGCCCCCCACTTCAAACCCCCACAGGCACGAGGGGACGAGGCCCCTACCCTGGCGGTAGATGCACGCAGACACCGCCTGGGGCCCCCCCCTACCTTTGCTAGAACAGCTGAAGGGGGGGGCCCCCCGGGCCTCCAGCGTCTCAGTGGGGGCCCCACCCCCAGGGGCCCCCGCCAGAGCGTCTCCTTGGCTCAGGCCTTTCTCAACCTCCAACCCCAAGACAGCCAGGACTGGGGAGACAGCGACTCTATAGATGCAGCAGCAGCAGCAGCTGCTGCTGCAGCAGCTGCAGCAGCAGCACCAGCAGCAGTACCACTTCGCACCTGTAGCTCCGCAGGATCTGCTTCCTATGTGCATCCGCTTACCGACGTAGATGATGCACGAGCAGCCTTTGCTGCAGCTCCTGCTGCTCCTGTTGTTGCTGCTGCTGCTGCTGCTGCTGCTGCTGCTACTGGGCTAGAGAGTGAGCACAAACAAAAGGAGAAGGAAGATTCAGAATCTTCGGGTTGCGAATGCTGCTGCTGCTGCTGCTGCTTGCTGCGTCCGTTCATGAGAAGGCGAGGGGCTTCACAGTCACAGCAGCAGCAGCAGCAGCAGCAGCAGCAGCAGCAGCAGCATGGGCAGCAGCGGCGCTCCCGTAAGTTTGTGCTGCAGCACCTCCCCCGCAGCCTTTCTAAGGAGCCCCCGCCCTCGTACCCTTCTCCGCAGCTGCTGGAGTCTCTGCGGCGGCGACAGGAGCAGTTGCTGCTGCAGCAGTTTCCCCTTAAAGGTGTTGGTATTGGTTTGCTGCTGCAGCGGCTGCTGCTGCTGCTGCTGCGGCCCCGAGGAAGAGGCTTTGCTGCAGTCATAGATGACGGGGTGTATATACAGCGCAAGCAGCAGCTGCTGCTGGCTGCGCTTGCTGCTGCTCCCCACTGTGCCAAGCTGCTGCTGATCCTTCGTCCATTCCTGGGCCTGTTGCCGCTGCTGCAGCTGCAGCAGCAGCAGCAGC